TCACTCATCTTTTATTTTGTGCCAAATCAAAGCCTTCAGTCTGGCCAGGACGCCACTTAATTAACATGTCATTCAAATGCCTTCCCCCAACACTAAGGCTTCGGATTTTCCCTCCTTAACAGGAGAGCCAGTGCTCTTACTCAGTAAAGCCCTGCATTATCAGTGTGTAACTGGAGAGTCTCCACTTGAAAGTACAGTTGGCCAAGTGAACGAGAGAACATGAACATGAACTATATAGGTGTCCCACTGAGCAAACCCTCAGCCCCCTTCTTGACATGGAAAAGTGTCTTCCTGCGTCATAAAATTAAATTGTACAAAAGAAAATGAAGATGTAGAGGAGAAAAACCCAAAATCAGAAACCAACCCTACAAAGATCCACAGCTGAATACAACAGAGATACCTATCACTGTAACCAGAGGGTACAGGAAGGTCCTCAAGAGAGATACCTATCACTGTAACCAGAGGGTACAGGAAGGTCCTCAAGTGAGATACCTATCACCGTAACCAGAGGGAACAGGAAGGTCCTCAAGTGAGATACCTATCACCGTAACCAGAGGGTACAGGAAGGTCCTCAAGAGAGATACCTATCACTGTAACCAGAGGGTACAGGAAGGTCCTCAAGAGAGATACCTATCACCATAACCAGAGGGTACAGGAAGGTCCTCAAGAGAGATACCTACCACCGTAACCAGAGGGTACAGGAAGGTCCTCAAGAGAGATACCTATCACCGTAACCAGAGGGTACAGGAAGGTCCTCAAGAGAGACACCTATCACCTTAACCAGAGGGTACAGGAAGGTCCTCAAGTGAGATACCTATCACCGTAACCAGAGGGTACAGGATGGTCCTCAAGAGAGATACCTACCACCGTAACCAGAGGGTACAGGAAGGTCCTCAAGAGAGATACCTATCACCGTAACCAGAGGGTACAGGAAGATCCTCAAGAGAGATACCTATCACCGTAACCAGAGGGTACAGGAAGGTTCTCAAGAGAGATACCTATCACCATAACCAGAGGGTACAGGAAGGTCCTCAAGAGAGATACCTATCACCGTAACCAGAGGGTACAGGAAGGTCCTCAAGAGAGATACCTACCACCGTAACCAGAGGGTACAGGAAGGTCCTCAAGAGAGATACCTATCACCGTAACCAGAGGGTACAGGAAGGTCCTCAAGAGAGACACCTATCACCATAACCAGAGGGTACAGGAAGGTCCTTTCAGGGTCACAGAAATTCATTTCCCTTCTTTATACTCTCCTCCATCCTCAAATCTGGTCCCCATTTGAACTGTATTGATCTGCCTTTCATAGAAAGGGTTAACTATTATTTTTAACATGAAACACCTAAAATTTCCCAGAAAGTCAATGAATGCAGGGCTGAAAATTAATAGCCATTCCATTAGGCAAAACACACCACTGCTGAACCAATATTCCGATTATTTTTCTCATACCTACAATTTTGTTTCCATTGTTTGCTATGCCAAATACTCTCTGAAACCATATACACCTTTATCAGAGTTAAGTAACCAATCCAAATTGTTCTAGTTATCTTTTAAATACTTCACATTTCACACTTTGATTAAACTGCAACTTAAATCAATTATAATTGCAAAGATGTTCAATAACAACCAGCAAGGTCATAATACTGCTCATTTATTAAAATGAAGTATTAAAAACTGTAACAATACTATTATAAATAACAATTCAAAACTGACTTCTAGTATCAAGGATGAATTATTTCAAATTATTAAGAAACGATGAAATTGTGACTGGCTACTTACTAAGATGAAACATTAATGTCAAAGAAATTACTTTCTTTTTAAAAACTATGCTGAAACTGTTTAATTGCAATAGACACTCCAGGATGTGTCATGCTGGGATAATGCCACTTCTTGAACCACTGAAAGCACTCCATGAGCCTCCAAACTCACCCAAGGCATGGAATCATTATCATAGCATGACACACACCTGCCGTGTCTTATTGCTTAATTATAACTCACCATAGATGAAACTGTATTGAATTTTTAGTGCAAGTCTAGAACTGAATAGAATTTCATTCATTCAATCTCATGCCCACATCAGCTTACTGGGCTGTATTCTTGTAACTATCCTGATCACTACTGAAATTTAACAGATTTAGACTCAATATGGATTTAAGTAACCTTTTATTAATAACACTGTTAACATAGTGTTAAGGTAGAATTGACAAATACTCCAGCTAATTTAACTACAATTAATTTCTATCTTCAACCCCCAGTTAGCATTTCTAATAAGAAATTTACCTGCAAATACAAAACGTGTTGCTCAAGTGCAGTAAGGAGCAATGCAGGCTGGGATGCTGAGAAGCTCTGGAGCTTGTTCCAATCGATTGTAATTTTCACCACATCATCTTTGAGGTTAAGCTTCAAAGGGGCAAAGCAGCAACATCACAAAAAGTACATGATTAAGCTGTTTATCTGGGGTTATCACAAAAATAAGATTTCTATGGAGTAATGCCTGTCTATTTTGCTCATAGTTACCAAGTTTCAAAGACAAAATAAAATGCTCTACCTGGTTACCACTTTAAAAAGCCAAACAATGCAGAGTTTCATTTTTTAAAACAAATGGAATATTATTCTAATTCTTATGTCTGCTATGAGACCCTCTTTGAGGTGAAGCCATCCATGAAAGATCAAAAAGGAAAGCTCTTTTGATGCTTTAATACCTAAAATACCTTTGGGTGGTGTCCAAAAATAGGTTTGCCCTAGTCAGAATCCTACTAACTCCAACTGAGCATTCACCTGAGGTACAACTGCTTTAGAAAAGTCCTAGCCAAGGATATTTCTCTTTGATACATATGTATACAAATACATGCCTAAACTTTTTTTTTTCTGAATCAAATTTTTATTGTTTTCTAATCGAGCCAATTTTCTAAAAGAAAATTTTTTAAATCAAAATTATTCACACATAGGGATGGCAATATCTACTTCAAATAAAAATCAAACTATCTCTTAGCTATGACATTCTCAAGCTGAAAAACGAATACTTTTCCACAGTAGTAAAATATATTGCCCAAACTGGATGTCCAGTGTTTTTGCTAAGGTTTTCTTAGTAAGATATGAGGTCTCATCATTACAGTTTCTCATCAGTTACTAACTTATTAGAACAAAATATCCAGAAAACTTTCATGAACTTGAATCTAAGATTATCATCAAAATCAGTCAAAACTTAAAGGGAGAACTTCCACCTGTAATCACTGACTGAGGAAAAGTGAATCTCCATGAACTTTTCTAAGGGCTGACACAATAGCACAGTATAAGAACACACACCGCAGTAGAATCAAGTAATTATAGTTTATTTTGCAGGGATAATTTATTAAAAATTAGCCTGGCTTCTACAAAGTAATGATACATGCTACATGCGTTCAAATACAGTTGTGGGGGTAAAAATACATGAACATGAATCATTGTACATGAAATCCAAAAGATCCAAGATCACCAGAATTGGCACTATATTCAATCATTGTGTGACAGATATACTGTCAATGAAACTAGAAGTATTTAAAGTCCATGTGCGGCAGACATCAAGAAATATGAACTTTTACATATGCTATATTGGCAAAGACAAGCTATCAAGATTTCACATTAAAATTAACACATTAATCTTCACTGATACTACTTTAATGCCTATAAAGATTGTATTACATAACAACTTGTTATGAAAGTAAGCCATGACCATGTTTTTACAGTCCTCCAAAAGATCTACAGTTGATTATGGAAAATTTACGAAAATGATTTTGGGAAAAAGCGGGCAAATCTTCAACCAAAGCAAAGCATCACATTTTCTAGGGAAAGTAACCTGGAAAAATAAATCTTACTGTTTGGTTCATACTCTCATGTCAATTCAGGAGAATTCTACGAGCCTTCGAAGGCAATTTAGGATAATTGTTCTTTTATGAAAATATATATAATACCATAAGTTAATTTTAAAATGGCCCAAATACACTACATCATTCATTCAATGAATTCCCCATCAGTCACATGCATTCTATGTATTTTCACTTCATAATCACGGGCTAGTAAACTAGCACTGCAAAAATTTCTACTAATATGCTATTAACATCTACTATTTAAATGTGCATTTTCAGTAGAAACATTATTAACTGTTTTTTAAAATCTAAGCTAACAATAAATCTTTAGCTTGCTAACATGGGTCAATCAGAGGCAAGGCAAGCAAAAAGATTAAATTAAAAGTAAATTCTGCATCTGGAGGAAAAAATAATTTTCAACAATTCCTTTTTACATTTTCTATTGAGAAGTGCTAATTACACAATGAAACAGGATGAACTTAGGCATATGACAATTTATATCTTAGAAGTCCTTCAAACTTGTTACAAAAGGAAAGACTTCCAAGGGCAATTTTATCAGCATGCATTCTGGTTTTCATTCTTAAACAATTTGTCTCAAATTACAGGGTAGTACTGAAATGGTTAGCATTTATCAATAAAGTAATCTTATTTTTGACACTTGTATGAACGCTTTCTTCATTATGTTAGAAAAAACTCCTATTTTTTTCTAAAGGTTTTTGATAAGTGTCCTAAGTAAAATTTAATCATGGGACACATTCCTTTTGAACCTGTGGAACACCAGAATGTTTAAAAATTTTTAAATCATATGAAAATTTTCAGCATGCAAAATGAAAGTTGAAATCATTTCTCAGTGTAAATTTTTACAACTTCTAAACATAATAAGTGAGAAGAGTTTTTTTTCTCATCTTGACATTTTGACATTAGAGTATAAGTCTTAAAACTCCAAAGTCCACACCAAAAAAGTTCTCTAAATTTTAAGCCATTTAATGGTCTTGGACGTTGCCACTGAAATGATAGTAGCAATCCGGTGTCTAAGATTTAAGCATTTTTTGTTACTAGTTGGCAAACAAGTGTACAAGCTTCAATTTTTAGAAGACTGCAATTTACTGTAGTTTTCCGGTCAAAATAAACATACTAAGGTTTTTTAAATTATTAAAATAACTTTTTACGAGATTAATTTCCATCCTCCTAAGGATTTTAAAAATAATGCTCAAAAAAATGAAGCAAATGCCTTATTCTCATAGAAAGCGAACTACTGTGCTTGACACAAATATCTGTTGTGTCCACTACATGCACCAGACCAGCTCCGAATAGAAAATATATTTCACATAAAATATTTTTAAAGCAGACAAACATGTTGCTTCTCATTTAAAGTTTTGTTAAATGTCACGAATGACTTTATCTATTAAAATATAAGAAGCCCATTTTTGAAAACTAGTTTACTATGACATTTCTGTAAGAGCGACGAATAGTTAAAACGACAGGAGTGACGCAGTTAGCATCGGCCACACAGAACTCATACCCAACAATTAACACCAGAACTTAGACATATTACAGATTACATTTTAAAAACCTTTTAAATCCTCCCACACAATGACCACATGGGAAAATACATAAATAAAACCCAGAGACCCATATGAGCAAATAACCCTCCAAGAGTAGAGGCAGCGCTCGAAAAACTTTCAAGCCATACTGACCAACAAATTTCCAGAGAGAATACACAGGAGGCGAAAGGACCCTAAGCGTTAGGCGCCTCCTAATCTCAGCAGCATCTGCACGTTCACTGTCCTCCGCTAGGAGCGGGTTTTCTCCAGACAGCCGCGCTCACTTTGGCAGTCTACGCGCTCAGTCCTCCTCTCCGGCCCGGCGCGGCAGGGCCTGGGCTCGCTCCCTGGCCTCAGCAGCCCCGCAGTATCCACACGCCGGCCGCTCCTAGGGCCCCCGCTGGAGGAAAAGCCGCCGAGCCCAGGGTGCCCCCGCCTTCCACTCACCTGTCCAGTCAGAGTGTGCAAGGAGCGGAAGATGTCGCAGAGCATCTCTGGGGCGAGGAGAGGGCTGGAGCTTCGCTCCACGGTCCTGTCGCTGCCGCTCGGGGAACTAAGCTCCACGGCAGCAGCCATGACACCTTCACAGCAGCCCCCCGGCACCACGGAATTGCACAACCCCGCCCCTCCCGTTCTGCTTTCGTCGCATTGAGATGACGCAAAACTACACCGTCTCATTTGGCGCTCAGCCGTTAGACCCCACCCTCTTCATGTGACTGACAAATACGAACACCAACCAAGAGCGAGGATTCCAGTGCGCAGAAGGAGTGGTAAGTGTGTTGCTGGAACCTGCGTTTGGTGGTGGTTCTTGGTGTCGCCCGTTGAGGCTTAGAAGCCTGCCCTGAAGGCTGGAGGAAGTCCTGCTGCTAAATGTTAGAATTTGAGCCCCACAATTAAAATTTTAATAAAGCGGAGTGGAGTTGTTTTGGAAAATGATCGTGGATCCGGAATGGAGCGATGCTCACACGTTTCTAAGCTTTGGAAAATTCACAGACTGATCATAGTTGATAGAACATTTTCATCTCTGCAGGGTTGTTTGAAACACTCCCAACAAGCATCACTTTTTTTTTTTTTTCCGAAAGAAAGGTCAGAGAACAATTCGAGTGATGTATTATGCTTCATTTTCCTACCAGGGAACGAAATTAATGACTAAATCTACAAAACAGTTTATGCCAAGTGTCTCAGGGCGATAACTGTGGACAGTCAACCATAAAATTGTTTCAAAGTGAGATACTTATCAATATGAAGGAGGTGCTGCTCCTTCCTTTCTTTGCCATGATTGACTTTGAAATTCCAAGTTTTACGTGAGCTCTTGACCTCCTAATATAAGAGTGACTAATGTTCATTTGACTAACCTTTCAATTCTCTAATAACTCTGTGATTCAACATCCAGACCTGCATTTGTATTTTATTATTGTTTACTTAGGTAATCCTTAGAATTTATGAACTCCTTCATACGTGATTTCTGCTCTCTACTGACATTCCTTACTCCTTCCTGGTGTCCACTGAGCTCATTTTGGCCACTTATTTTCTTCTTTTATAATAAAAACTATTTATAGGCTGAAAAGATGTGGATTACTTTGGGCTAACTCCAAATAGAAATGTATAGATATTAATGTATAGGAAAAGTATAATAAAGACTGAAATTAGAAAGGAAATAATTCGCCTTTTATAGAAAACTAATTACATTTATGAAGTGGGTTGGTGAAAAATCGGTTGCTTAGCAGAAATAATTCATAAGTGTTGGTGTTGGCATTAGCAACAGAATTAGAAACACTGTCCTGCAAGTTTATGCCAAGAATCAGTTGGGAAGATAGAAACTATAAATGAAATCTAGGCTAACTCTGTTATCAACAAAAGCCTTTTAGAAGGAGCTTTAAAGACACAGCTCCATCAAATAATTTTTCTAGCACCCAGAAAAATGCCCAGGGTATTATTTTTTGAATATATGATAATACAACTTTTTCTAATTCAGAAACTTTAAATAGGCATTTATCATCTCTGGGTCTACATCACCTGCTGGTTAATCCAGGTTCCTTAGGATGACATATATCAGGCCTTTCCCATGATCTGACCTATGCTTAAACTTTCCAAATTCATTTTGTTCCACAAACAGTGTAGTTCTCCAGAAAATGATTTTGGCTGTGTGTTTGTGTTTGTGAGTGTGTGTGTGTGTGTGTGCATTGTGTGGGTGGGCATGTGCGCATGTATGGGAGTGTCCATGTGTTTGTGGATGTAAAGGCCTGAGATAGACTTTGTGTCTTCCTCAATTGCTCTCCACCTTTTTTTTGAGGCAAGGTCTCTCACTGAACCTGAAGCTCACAGATTTGGCTAACAAGGCTGGCCAGCCAGCCCCAGGATTCCTCCTTTCTATTATCCTCCAGCTGTGAGTGTACAGATACCTCCACAGCACCTGGCTTTTATGTGGGTGCTGGGGATCCACATTTGGGTCCTCATGTTTGTGTGGCAAGTACATTGCCAACTAAGCCATCTCTTCAGTCCCCTAAAATTTATTTTACTTCTTCAGGTCTTTACTATTTTTTTGCCTCCATGCCTTAAATTTATGCCTTTTGCCTCTTGTGTGCTTAGGAAACTCTAATGTCTTCAAATTTCCATTAGGAAATCTATGGGAAGTCCTCCCTCATAAAGAGTTAATTTTTCTCCTCTTCTAAACTGCTCTTGCCACTTGTACACACTTCTGTAACATTGGTATTCAAATTTATTTGAATGTGTATGTCTCCCTACTGAACTGCTTCCTATTGTCATGCTTGAGGTCTAGCACAGTTTATGGTACACAGTAGCTGCTCAGTACAGCACTCCCTCCTTATCTAAGGCAGGTATGTTCCAAGACTTCCGACTTCTGATTGGATGCCTGAAATAGTAAATAGCATCAAACTCTATACTGTGTTTGAGTTTTACTATAGAGCTTAGCAATTCCAACAAATGTACGTTTTGTTCTTTCCTTAATGAGAATCTATCTTTTCACTTAGAGAAGGGCATTACAGCTTTTGCTTTGCATATCCAGAGTGCCAGTGCCATTACTTTTGTATTTAGGGGAATTATTAAGTTTAAGAAAGCAGATTTAGTCATTAACGTCATTCTCTGATAGGAAAATGGGGCATACTACATCACTACAGGCTTTTCTTAATAAGTTAATTAAAAGTACTTTATTATAAGGATGGAAAGCAGATTAACACAATATAAAAATACTTCTTATGTTACCAAAGCCCACAGTATTCAGTAACATACTCCATGGGCTTTTAACCTGGGAGCAATATTTCAAGAGACGATGACAGTCATTTCTAATAATGATGAAGGATGTCAAACCACTGGTGCCAAAAGGTCGGAGAATTTTAACATTAGTCATGTTTTGCTATGTAACAAATTACACCAAAATTTAGTGGCTTAAAAGAACAAATAGTTGGGCATGATTATATGTGCCTCTAAGCCCAAGACTTGAGAGTCTAAGGCAAGAGGACCACCATGAGTTTGAGGCCAGCTTATGTTGAAAACTTGACTCATAAAACGAAAACCAAACCAAAACAGAAAACATTTCTTATAGTTTATTTGGGTCAGAAATTTGCTTGGTAATTGTATTGGTCAGGGTTCTCTAGAGGAATAGAATTGATAGATGTATATATATTAAAAGGGAATTTATTAGCTTGCTTACAAGGTAGTGTCTGGGTAGTCCTATAATGGCTGTCTTCACACTGGACAGGCTGAGAACCAATAGCTGTTCTCACTTCAGTTAATATAATCAAGAAAATTTCCCACAGGCAAGTTCAGAAATTAACCTAGATAATCAAGATAATCCCAAGTGTACCCAAAGACTTGTCTCATTGGTGGTTTCAGATACTGCCAAGTTGACAGTCAATATTCACCATTACAAGTCCACCCTTTATCAGCTTTACACCCAAATACATCTCTTTATTTCATGCTTAATTTCTAAATGCAAACAATACCAAGGTCATAATTCTGTCTGACATGGTATAACCCATTTACAACTACAAACACACTATTTCCCCCCTAGAATAGGTGATAAAGTCCTTTGAGGAAATGTTTATTCTTTTAGTGTCTCCAAACCTTAACATGCTATAGACTTATAACAATTAATTACTAATGTTATCTAACCTGATGCTACATTACATGGTAAACAAATGGAGAAAAGGGACTGGAGAGATGGTTCAGCAGTTAAGAGTGCTTGCTCCTCTTTCAGAAGAGCTAACCTTGGTTCCCAGTACCCATGTTGGGCTTCAATTGCCTGTAACTCCAGCTCTAGGTGATATGACCCCTTTTCTGGCCTCTGTGAGCACCCCCCCACCCACATGGAATATGCACACAGGCATGCACACATACACACAATAAAAATAAACAATACATCTATTTTTTTAATTTTTGAGGACTTCATACATGAGTACTGTGTTTGCATCATTCCACCCCTCCCGTTGCCCGTCCAGCTCCTCCCACTTCCCCCAACTCTCCCTGTCAATTTACTGTCCTCTTATGTGATTACTAGTGCTGCATGTACATACATACAATTATAAATATACATATATATATAAATATAATGCCTTGAGTGCATTTGGTGGTGTTTGTGCATGCATGTGTTTAGGGCTGACCACTGGGATTAGATAACTTATCAAGGAACTAGTCCCTGGAGAAAACTGATTGCCCCTCTCTAAAAATAAAAAGAATAAATAAACAAAAAACCTCAACGAAAAATAAATGGAGAGAAAAAAACACAAATATCTGCTTAGCAGATAGATGATATGTAGATGGTAGATGATAGATAGAAGATAGATAGATAGATAGATAGATAGATAGATAGATAATAGATAGATAGATAGAAACATTCTTTTTTTAGATGCAAGGAGACCATCAGCTTTTTTATTTTAATTATTTTTGTAATTATACACTTTTTGTATATTTTATTGACATTTTGTGTTTTTCATATACAGTGTCTTAATCATCTTTATACCCCCTTCTCCATCAGCACCCTCCCATAGCTGTCATTTATGTTAAGGCCTATTGAGTCAAGTTAGTGTCCCCACACATCTCTCAGTCCAAGTTCATCCACTGGGGCCTAGTCAGCCTATCTAGAGTCACTCCCTTAAAGAAGATCAGCTCTTCCTCACCCAGTAGTAATCAATTACCAATAGTTCTTTGGCTAAGATTGGGGCCTGCTGCCCATGTCCCCAGCTCTATGCTGGTTTTTGTCTGATTGAGTTTGCATGGGTCTTGTGCATGCTGCCACCACCGCTCTAAGTTTATATGAGCAAGGTCCCAGGAGCCTGTAAGACTCTCTATGGCCATGCACTTCCTCCCCTGGCTCTTACAGTCTTCCTGCCCCTCTTCCACAATGGTCCCTGACCCCTGGGTGGGTGAATATAGGAGTCTTGTCCAAGGACTCACAGTCTGTAGACTCTTAATCTCTATGCTTTGACCATTTGTGGCCCAGGGTGTTAACTGCCCTCTGTTGCATGAGGGAGCTTCGTTGATGAGAGCTGAGAGGTGCATAGTAGTCTCTCTACCTCCTGTTCCACTGTGTTCCTTGAGCCTTAGGTGTAGAGGTTCCATTGTAGATGTGTCACTTAGGGCCAGGCATCTCACAGGCACTTAATCTCTGTGTGTCACAAGTTGTGGATAGTC